AACAATTATTGGAACTATAATAAATGTAACTGTAAAAAAAAAAGCTATTACTGCAATAAAATCGTTGCATTATTGATAATTTTTATTAGTTAGCATAAAAACCATAGTAATAAATAATATCAACAAGGGAACTAAAAAAACAGAATTAAAAGAAATTAATTTTTTAATAAGAATGAGATTAATAAAAATAATTATGAAGTAAGTAAATCAGTAATAATAATATTATAATAGTTGACAATTTTTAAATAATATTTAAACAAAATAAAAAAATATATATATAAGAATTTGTAAGGTTATTTTAAAGAAAATTGTAATGCGTAAAGGCAATTGTTAAGCTTTACAAGATCATAGGACTTATCAACTATATTAAAAGCTTTTTGGAGATCAATGAATACATCATAGGCAAAAAAAATAGATAAATAAGTTGTTAGATAAGCAACTCAGTAATACTTATAAGAGCATACAAAGTGGAGTGCTCTAAATGAAATCAAAACTGGCAGTCATTTAAACACTCAGAATTGTTAAGAAAAAAGGTAGATACAGCAATATATTATTTTTTCAAGAATTTTGATATTTAATAATAGTGATATTGGTCTATAGTTATTGCAATCAATTATAAATTCTTTTTTATGAATCAGTATCACAGAGGCAGATTTACAAAAAATATGGGTAACAAGGTAACAGATAACAAAAAGCATTGGTAACAGGTAACGAAAAACGTCTGTAACAAGGTAAAAAGTAACAAAAAGCATCGGTAACAAGGTAACAGATAACAAAAAAACGTTGCTATTAAGGAGAGATAAGAAGATTGAAATTACTAGAGAAGTGTCTTATGAGAAGTGCTATTGTCTTATGAGAAATGCTATTAGCAAAAAGTTAATAAGTTAAGTTGGAAGATAAGTAATGGTGTAAGGATTAAAAGCCTTGCCATTGTTGAAAGAAAGTATAGTAGTACTTAATTTTTATCAGTTGGTTTAGTTAATATTGAATTAAGGATTGGTGTTTTCAGGTGTTTTCAGGTGTTTTCAGATGTTTTCAGATGTTTTCAGATATTTATCTAAGTCTGTATGAGAATAATAAATTTGTTTTTGCAATTTCTTTGTGATTGATATAAAGTATGAATTGAAACTTTTAGATATTTTCATTGGGTCATTGGGTATTGTGTAGTTTGTTGAAAATACACAAAAAGAAAATCCTCCTGATGCTCTTGCATGTAAATTGTAAATGCAAAATGTAAAAAAATCTTGATGCTCATTGCCCTCAAACAATTGGCATTATTAGGAAATAAATCAAAATTTCTTTTTGCTTTTTTGGATTAGAGTTATGAGAAAATTTTTTCCCAGAATTAGTTTGTTACTTGAGTTTTTTGCTTTAAAAAATTTTTTTGCTTTAAAAAATTTTTAAAATTAAACACTTAATATGCGCTTTTTTTTTTGAAATTAAGATTGCAAAAAAATATTGCAGTTGAAAAGATTACACTTTTTTTAAAGAGATGAAAAAAAATTGATGGAAATTGTAATAAATTTTTGAATAGTAAAAAAAAAAAATGAAATAAAATAAATTGATTGATTGAGTAGTAATATAAAATGGAGAAAGTTGTAGGAAGCAGCTAGGTTTAAAGTTTCACAAATTTTAGCAACATTTAATATCTTTGTAAAAGTCAACCAATAAAAAAATAACTTTGTTTTTTTTTTTTTGTTTTTTTGCAAAAAAATTTTGAAAAAGTATCATTAAGTACAAATCAGTTTTTAAATATCCATGGTTGGATGGTAATAAACATCCATGATTGGGTGGTAATAAACATCCATGATTGGATGGTAATAAACATCTATGATTGGATGGTAATAAACATCCATGATTGGATGGTAATAAACACATTTTAGAATAATGTTGGACTTTTTAGGAAAAGCACTTTTCACAAACACAGTATTTAAAAACTGGGGTTTATACAAAGTTAAATCTTTCCTAGGCTAACATAATGATTATAAGGACAACAACAAAGTAATAGTATGTTTATGAGCATAATCACTAAAATTAATTGTGATTTAATCAAAATGGAAATTAATTGTGAATGTTGGTGGTAAATTAATTTTCAATTTAGTTTCTGTCAATACAATAATACTAAATTTTAATTTAATAGGGATAAAAATGAATTTATCAGAGATAAAAGTGAATTTATCAAAGATAAAAGTGAGTTTGTCAGAGATAAAAGAGAATTTATCAGAGATAAAAAAGAGTTTATCACAGATAAAAGTGAATTTATCAGAGATAAAAGTGATATTATTAGAAATAGAAGTGAATTTATCAGAGATAAAAGTGAATTTATCAAAGATAAAAGTGAGTTTGTCAGAGATAAAAGATAATTTAGATAAAGAAAAAGATAGAAGTGAATTTATCAGAGATAAAAGTAAATTTATCAGAGAAAAAAGTGAATTATCAGAGATAAAAGTGAATTTGTTAGAGATAAAAGTGATATTATTAGAGATAGAAGTGAATTTATCAGAGATAAAAGAGAATATAATTCATCAAAATGTTTAACAAGTGAGGAAATGTTTAAATGAAAAAAATTCATTATCAGATAAAGAACTAAACAGAAATGATATGATGTCAACATATACTTTAGAGCCATGAAAAGGTAGAAACATTTTTTGAGAACCCAAAAACTTTTCGATAAAAGTTTATTGAAAGATATAGTTTTTATGAACTGGAGTTAAGCAGTGAGAACATTGAAGTGAAAGATTATCAGTTTGAAAATTTTTATCGCAAATTTTGCAGAGTTTAAACATATTTATGGTGTGCAAAGTATATAAATAATAGCGAAACAACAAAAAAAAATCTAAATATTCAGATGAACATCAACAATGCAATTGTATAAACAAACAAATTCCCAATAAATGAAAATGTAGAATCTCAAATGTTATTTATAAAAGAAATTATATTCTCTTTTATAGTTTCACCCCCTAATATTCAAGAAAAAGTATATATTAGCTTATCAGAAGACAAATGAAAGAAATAAACACTACTTTACAAATACAAATTGCAAAATTCAGCCACACTTTTCAAATACATGTGGCAAACAAAAGAAAAACTTTAAAGTAGCACCTAACTTAACCAATATTTAAAAAAGTTTCCGCTTACAATAAAAAGTTCCCACTTACAAAAAATACTTACTTTTCCACATGAAAAACTTTTAATAGTTTCCCAGTACCCCAGAATTGCTAAACAAAAAAACTGAAATAATATTAAAGTGTCATCATGAAAACAAGTTTATGCTTTGCAGCCACAAATCCAAACATTAAAAAACTAAAAAAACTTGCAAACAGTAACAGCTTTATAATTGTAATAACACGTTTCTTTTGTATAATGATAATAAATTATTTTAAATGAAAAAAAACTTAATTTATTTTTTACCTAATGATTGCTAATGCATGCAACTATTAATAGTAAACACTATGTAGTAATTTTTTACTTTATCTTGTCAAACAAAAATGATAAAAATTGATAAAATTTTTTTTGACTTTAAAACTCTTTTAGCACTTTTTTAATTCATTTTGTTGGTGAACAAAGTAATCTGAAATGTAATACAATATGTACAACAAAGAAATAATACTCTGGTCGACGGATTATAAGTCAAAAAGCATTGGGCGTACAACCTCACTGTACCTGATGATAAAACAGGAAGGACTTTTTGTTACATTATGTATGAAACAGTTGTAGCCAGAGGTGCATATTAAACAGCTTTCTGCTTGTACATGCATTTACAGACCTTCCTTTCAAGTTCTGTAAAGTTGTTTTTTATTCTGATATGTATTCAGGCCAAAATAGAAATTCCTATGTATTGGCCATGTTTACTTGGGCAACACAAAACTTAAAACTTGTTAGAATTGATCACAAATTTACGATACACATAATTTATGATAATTTATGGCACAGTCATTTAGTAGTAGACATAGATCAAAGTGACATTGAAAAGAAAAAAAAAGAAAAACGTATTATCCTCATGACTGGATATAACTATTACGTTCCAGTTGTAATTTTCAGATGTTTTAAATGAAGCAACCTAATTTTTTTACATTGTTAAAATATGAAATAATTTGAAAAAATTAAAGTACAATTGATGAGCAGTTTAAATAGTTAGAATAAAGATGTTTGCAATACAAAAAGAATTTTATAGTTGCTTGATGTAAAGACTTATAGTTGTTTGATATATAGACTTTAATATATAAACATAAAAGGAAGATGATCAGCCACCATACCCATTTTTTCAGTTATATCCAGCCAACCTTTTCCCATATCAAAAGAAAAGAAATACAATTTGATTTCACTTTTTTCCTTTAACTCTAAATATTTTTTATAGATTTTATAAAAATTGCCAACCTCACATCACTAACATGACATTGGCCCAATTATGCTAGGGAATAAGAAGAAATGCGGTTATTTTTTTTTTTAATATTAATTATAAGTTATTATTATACTGTGTTTGTTTTTTAATTAGATATACTAGTTTACCCTTTGAACATAAGTCAGATTCCTCACCCAATACAAATAAAATGAGTCATCCCTTTTTTGATATTTTTTTAATATTTTCCTTAAATCTATTATCTGTAATCATTTTTATTAACATTTTGTGAAATAAAAATACTTGTTTATTAATTAAGTTGACTTATATTGTATTTTTTGTTTCTCCTGTAAAGTTACTTATGTGTTTTAATTCACCTATACTAAAAATGTATATATACTTTTAACAATTTATAGGTATTTATATTGTTTATAAATATGCAAATGTTTTAAAATAAACAAAAAATTTAAAATAAACAAAACAAAACAAAAAAAAAAAAAGAAAACTGAAAACTTTACTACATAATAAATAAAAAAAAGATAAAACATGAATCCCAAATAATAAATATTACTTGAATTTAAAAAACCCACTTGGAAATTTAAGTAGTTTTTATTTGAACACCTTGTTTTGTAATCTACACATGATATATTGTGTTCTTTAGATGCTCAACAGGTGAGAATTGGAGTCTCATTATGTATAGTTGCTACAATAAAGCAGAATGTGAATCAAATTCAGACATAATCACAAGTGAAAAAAAGTATTGTGGAAATACATGGGTGGCTAGAATCTATTTTACTTCCTATTTATTTTTTTCAATGTTTTTGGTGAGTGTTTTTAATAAATTTTTGGTCTTGTTTTTGTGTAATTTTTTACTGTATTTTTTTTAAAAAAGTTTTAATTTTTTATTTTTCCTCAGAACTTCAATTAAAAATTAGTTCTCTATTCCTCTTAAATATTATATATATTCTCATATATATATACACATAAATAAACACATTTATGTGTATGTATTTGTATATACATTTCAAATGACTTGAAAGCCAGCGGAGTATTTTCACAATGTGACATCATATGGCCTACGTAGAATCACTTGCTATAAAAATGTTCTGTATTTGTTGCATGTTATCAGAATACTTTTATATGCTCTATATACATGCTCTAGTTTGCCCACATTAAATAAATTAATAAGTTTAGAGGGTTACATGTTATGCTAACATAACATCAACTTGTTTCTCAGAGGCATTGTTTGTTAAGGTTCCTGTTTCGGAGTTATAAAGTTGGAAGAAGTAATAAAAGAATAAAAAGCCTCCTCAACTGTAGCCTCCTCAACTGTAGCCTCCTCAACTGTAGCCTCCTCAACTGTAGCAGCCTTTTCAACTTTGGGGAGGTGAATTGACATAGGAAAAAAAAAACATCTGAATTTATATTCCATTTAATTTATTTTTTTGTGTAAAACAATTATTTTATGTTAAATGTTTTGTGAAGTATATGGCAATAAATAATAATAATAATAATACAATAATTAATGCAGTTGAGACAAAGCGCAAGGCAATATCTATGACAGCTGGTATGAATTAATTAATGAACAAGTTAGTTCAGTCACTAAATAATAAAAACATTAATAATAAGCTTTGTTGGTTTTTATCTTGTTTGTTAATGCTTCTAAGTCGACCCATTGCAAGTTTAATTTGAAGTTTTTAACTGTAGTAGATTGAACAACTTCGGCTGGTAGACTATTCCATCCATCAATGACCCTATTGCTGAAAAAATATTGCTTTTTCAAACAATTTTTCAGACCAATTCAGGTTTCATTCCATGTTTTGCTCCTCTAATGTTACCTGCAGGACCTGATGAGCAAATAGATTTCTTTGTTTGATTTTGTTTAATATCAATGATTTCAATACCTTTAAATATTTTGAATTGCTGGATTAAGTTGCACCTTAGCCTTCTAGACTCCAAACTAGTCAAACCCAAAATTCTTTTTTCGTACTCGAGATGTCTTAACTCCGGTATCATTTTTGTAGCTCTTCGTTGGACTTTTTCTAGTTTGTTAATTTCTTTTGTATAATACGGACTCCATGCCTGAGTCAAAAACTCTAAATTTGGTCTAACATATGTACAATACATATTGTACATATTGTACAATACATATTTGTAATATGTACAATTTGTAATAATATACAATATATATAATGTACAATACATATATGTACAATACATATTTGTACATATGTACATACAAATTTGGTATAACATATGTACAATGTATAGTGTTTTTATCAGATCTTTATCCTTGTACTTGAATGTATTATTTAGTAGTGAGAGCATACTAGCTTGCTTTACTTATGCTTTACTAGCTGCATATTTTACTTGTTTGGCCCATTTTAAATCACTTAATATTTAAATACCAATGTCTTTTTCTAGTTTTGACTTTTCAATTTCCATTAATTTATTGTTATTGTTTATAAAATACGAATATTCTTTATTATTTGAACCAAAGTGCATAATTTTACATTTTCCAAAACTTAATCCTAATTTCCATTTTGTTGACCATTCGTCAAGTTTATTTACATCATTTTGAAACAATTGTGAGAAGAAATAACAAATTTTTGAGAAGAAATAGGCGCAATTAACTTATTATCATCAGCATATAAACAACATTCATTAATAAAATTTGCTGGTAAATCATTTATAAATACCAGAAAAAAGAGAGGACCTAGAACAGACCCTTGTGGTACACCACTAAGTACATCAACCCAATCTGTCACACTTTCACCTAAAACCATTCTTTGTTTTCTATTAGCTAAGAAACAGACTATCCACAAGAAGTTTACCAGAAATACCAAAAGTCAATAACTTGGATAATAACTTTTTATGTGAAACACTATCAAAAGCTTTTTTAAAGTCTGTGTGCAATACAACTACTGGTGTTCCATTGTTGAACGCATCTGTTGAAGTATCTAGGTATTATAATAGGTTTGTTGTACAGCTGTTGCTTTTCATAAATCATGTTGTTTTTTTGAAAGTAAATTATTTTTTATAAGATGTTGCATGATACAATCAGCTATTATTCTTTCCAACACTTTACATGGTATTGAAGTTAACAAGACTGGTCTGTAGTTAGATGCTTTTAATTTGCTTCCTTTTTTAAAAAGTGGCATTACATTTGCCTTCTTCCACATATCTGGTAGGGTACCTGTTTTCATCAATTTTTTGAAAATTAAATTTAATCGGTATAATATTGACGAGCTGCATTCTTTTAAAACATAAAGATGAACAAAATCAAAACCGACCAATTTCGACTTATCAATTGATTTAAGTCTAGTTTGAACATCATTTTGTTTTATAAGAACTGTGTCAAATAATAGATTTGAAGGTATATAATGCAATTCAATAGTGTTTGCATCATTATCATCAACATACACAGAATGAAAATATTTATTTAGTTCAGTAGCTATAGCGAATTGATCATTTATGATTTCCCCATTATCAATTTCCAGAGCTCAAATTTGAGTTTTCACTGAGATTTCTTCTCATTGATATATTTATAAAGATTTGATTTAATCTTGCTAGTTATAGTACTTTCTAATTGTTTTATATTGTTTTTAATATCATTCTTTATTCTAATTTTTAGCTTATTATACTGAGTTTTTGCTGATTCCTCATTCCAGCCATTACATTTATTAGCAAGCCATATATTGTTTTTAGTTCTTTTTTTATATTTTAATTCAGGAGTAATCCATTTGTTTCTGTTCCTTCTATTTTTTTAATTAGTTCTTGGGATAATCAGATTAGTTGCATAATTGTAATGATACAAAAATAAATCATACATTTCATTTCTAGTTTTACTTTTAAATCCATTTTCCCAATCACCATTATTGAAATGGCAAGAAAATAGTTCATAATTTCCTTTTTGATATAATCTAATGGATTTCTTATGTTCGTTAGAAGACTTATAATCATTCATTAGATAACAACACTTTAATAAATGATGACCCTGTTTTACATTCCCTAAAGGAGCTGAGTGAGTTATAGAAACCATTTTATTTTTATCGTTTGTAATAATAATGTCTAGAATATAGTTGATTTGTAGTTTGCTATGAGATTCATTATCAGTTGCTGAAAAAGGACAATTATTATCAGACCAATCTATTGTATTATAGTTGAATTCACCTGTAATAATAAGATCGCTGTATTCTTTTTGATAAATACTCGTTTTAGCAGCTTTAATAGATAGCAAAACAAAGTTATTGTACTCATGAAATATATCTGGTGGTCTATAAATGCATCCTATTAGTATTTTGTTATTTTTAAAACATATATAAGTCCATATTTGTTCAATAAAATTATTGTTTAAATGTAAACTATTTGTTTCAAACTGATCAATACATTGTTTTACATAAATACAAACACCTCCTCCATGAGTCTTTCTATCACTTCTAAAAATATTATAACTTATGATATTTACATCTGATTCTGCTTTAAATCAAGTTTCTGTAACACAAATAACATCCGGTTTATATATTTGACATTGTAACCTTAACTCATTAATCTTATTGTTCAGAGACATTGCATTTGAATACTAAATCATTGCATTTTTGAGTATCGTGCTCCTTGTTTATACTTAAATCACATTTCTTACGCTCATGAAAGTTTAATATTTCAATATCTAGCTCTCTCTTATTGCTCAGCAACTTGTTAAGATTTTGAACTCCACCACTAAACTGATTTATTTTATTGTTAGTTTTTTGATTAAAATATATTTTTGTTTAATTTTTCTTGTACTTTTTTTCAGTCTTAATTTCTAATATTATTATTTTATTCTATTATAATATCAGTCTATTATAATATATTTCTTAATTTCCTTTCAAACACAGTAGGTTAAATCCTCCTATAGATAAACATTACAAATAAAGATAAACATTATAGATATACAGTAGGTAAACTCCTTCCAAATACAGTAGATAGATTTAAGGTGAAAACTGAAGAAGTAACAGCTGCAATATGCTGAATAATATTGGAAAGTTATCTTTTAGCATAACAATGATTGACTTTATGTTGCATAGCTTGTCCGTCTATTATCTTGTTAAATTGAAGAAACTTGTTTTGGGTAATTAATAACCGTTTGGGTAATTAATAAGCATTTCACCTCATACGATTAATGCAAAAATTGGTTGGTTCATAGATAATCTCAAATGATGATGATGCATAAAGGTGAAAGGTTGAAGGTTAAAATATTGTATAGTATTCTGTCTATCTACATAGTGGCAGAATACAATGCAATAATTTAAACATTCAAAGTACAACCAGTTTTTTATATAAAGTTTTAGTTTTATGAAAAAATGCAACAAAATAATAAAGGCCTTTAATGCAACATGTACATTATTATTTTTTTTTTTTTAATTTTTATTTTCTTTCCTTTTTTTTAAAAAAAAAAATTAACTGCTATTTTAATTCCTATGTTTTCAGCTGTTAAATCTGTTTGTGGCAATAATTATGGATAATTTTGAATACCTGACATCTGATGGCTCAATACTTGTTCCACATCACATAAATGAATTTGTTAGACTGTGGTCGAAGTTTGATCCTGATGCAACGTATGTTCAATTTGTAATAAGTTCTTGTTTTCATGTTCCATATTAACTAGTTTTACAATTTTGAATGTTATCACCAGGCTTAAAAAATAATTAAAACATTTTAATTATTAAAAAGTTTATGGTAATTTATGTAATTTTATTCTCATTTATTTAATTTATTTGTATTTGTATGATGATTGTTTACTGGTTTAGCAGAATCAGCTTTTTTACAACCTCAAGCCCAACCTCATTTTTACAACCTCAAGCCAAACCTCTTTTTTACAACCTCAAGCTATTGTTTATAAAATGTTTCAGCTTTTGACTCCTCAGAAATTATTATTTTGCTTACTTTTTTTTTTACATAGTATTTTTTTATTTACTCAACACAATGCCCAAAAAAAAAATCTATATTTAATTTAATTTTTTAAACTTAAAAAAAAATTTTAAATGAGATTTTTTATTTTTTAATTTTTTATTTTTTTTTTATTTAATTCACCTCCTCAAGGCTGAGAAGGCTACTTCAGACGAGGAGGCTACTTATTTGTGGTTATAACCCTCTCTCAACTCTTTAACTCCGAAACACGAACCTTGACAAACAAGGCCGCTGCGCGGAGAAACGAGTTGAGCGCAGTACTACCAGAGACGTGGTGGGGATCGAACTCGGAATCACTTGTTTATGAAGTGAGCGCTCTACCACTACACCACTACCGCTTATTATTATTTATAGATTATTTGTTAAAATTAGATTAAAGTTCAAAAATGAAATAATAAGTTACTTTTAAATATGATAGTTAAGAGTTAATTAAAAGTTTCAGAATGTATATAGATAAAGCATAGAATATAGTTAGGCATTTGAAGATATATGTGAAAGCTATCTGAGCTAAGTATTTTTGATATGATATTTGTGCAAATTCATTTGGAGTTGATTTTTAGATACAAAGAGTGTCAGATGTTTGTATTTTAGTAGCAGAAAAATGAAAAAGTTGATTAGTTATTCAAAGATGAGTAGTGCTTATGAGAGTTGTTATGATTATCTATTGAATGATGAATCCTTAAAATAATTGATTACATTTGCTAAATAAAGTATAATTCAAAATGTAGAGTTAAATTGGTAAAGAAAAAATTTATCATCAGTGAATAAGATTAGTTGACCGGTTTAGTTAATAACTGTGTTATTAACTAAACCAGTCAAAAAAATGAAATCAGCTGTTCAGAGAAATCAGCTGTTCGGAGGAAAAGCTATTAGTCTTTCTGACATATTAACTGAAATGTTCAAGATTTCAAAAAAAAAAAAAAAATACTTGGCTAAGTTAATAAAGATTTTAGAAAAAATTATTATTAACAAAATAAAAAGCAGTGTATTTATCAACAATATATAGTTTAGTTTTAGGTTATGACAGGAAACAACAGCTGCAGTATCTATTCTATAGCAAGTTAAAGAAAAATTTTATAAAATGACAAAAGATCTTTGGATCCCACTTGTTGATGTTAAAAAGCTTTTTACAGAGTTTCTAGAGAGGTTGTAACATAGTAAGTTAGAGGAGAGTAACTAAGAGGGATAGTAACATAGAAAGTAATAAAGTCACCATAGTAACATAGTAATAACAATCAAAACAAAAGATGGAGAGAGTTGTAGTTGTAATGCAAAGTTTTGTGAGCATTAGGATTTAGTTTAGTCTATTTAGATTTTTGCTTTGTATTTTAAGTTTAAAGGCTTGTTTTATGCAAATGATCTATATTTTATTGCAGACAGAAGAAGAATATTTAGATTTTAGTATTAAAACATTGGAGCTAAAATATTTTTGTTGATTTAAATTGTTTAACCTAATTTAAATAAATATTTAATAATAATTAAATAAATTAAATTTAAAACTAAAAAAGTTTTTTTTTACTTTTTTAATATAATGTTAGTTTTTTTTCAAGTGAACAAAAAAAATTCTCCAAAATTTTAAAATGTATTTTATTTAAATGTCTCAATTTTATACAACAAATTTTGTTATGTAAAAGTTTCAAATTAAGCAACCTTTGTAAATAAATAAATAATTTTTTTAGTGGTTTTGTTTCCTATAATCAGTTTTATGAAATGATGCTGCAACTTCTTCCTCCTGTTGGATTTGGCTATCATTGTCCAAAAATTGTTGCATTCAAAGTAGAATTATTTTTTAATTTTTTTTTTTTAAGCAAAAGTTTCTGTTATAAAATTTAATTAATAAAATAGTTTATTTTATTAATTAAATTTTGTAGTTTATTTAAAAGTTTAGAAAAACTTAAGCAGATTGTTTTATATTTTATTTAATTTTTATTTTGTAGTTGATTTTTATTTTATTTTATAGTTGATATCTGTGCTTTTGTCAATTTTTTTTTTAATCTTTTTTTATTATTTTTTTAAATTTCTCATCTTTCTTGACACAATTCTTTTTATATGTTTTTCTGTGGGGTTCGATTACTCAGTCTCATTAAAAAAAAAAAAAAAAAAAAACAGATCTAAAATTAATTATATTTAGCAGAAATTGAAAATTAAAATTCATATCAAAATTTATATTTTCATCCTAACTTTTTCATCCCTTTTTTTTTTAATTTTAGTCAAGATTGCCTAATAATTGACCCAAAGCTCCTTAATAATTAACCTCCTAAAGACTGAGGCTACTACAGTTGAGCAGAATATATCTTAATATATACCTCTTTTAACTCTATAACTTTGAAACACAAATCTTGACAAACAAGACCACTGCACGGAGAAACAAGTTGGTACTATGGACTACCAGGGACATGGTGGGGATCGAACTCAGAACATACTTGCTTATGAAGCAAGCGCTCTACTACTACAATACTACCAATTAAATTTTAATTTGTTAAAAAAAAATTTTTCTCAGTATTAATCTTTTAAAAATCAAAATTTATGTTTTGAAAATCATTTTCAAAGTAAAGAACATATTGTGCAAGAGTTATTTTTGCAATAAATATTTTGTGATTGTATTGTATATAAGTATACTGTGATTATAGCAGTTATTATTATGTGACTATATAACAGTCAGTATTTTGTAATTATTTAACGGTGAGTATTTTGTGATAACATAACATTATTTTAAGTTGAATACAAATGATGTATTATTTATTTGTAATTTAGTGTTTAGATATTGAATATATTATTTTATATAAAATATTTCCCTTTGTCTTGTTGCCGCTGATAAGTATACATTATCTTTGTATATTCATCAGCGGCAACAAGAATAAAGGATATATACCCTATCTTTGCTTTTTTTAATTTATTAGTAAATAATGCATTAGTTTTTTATTTTATCTAATAAATTGATAATTTATATAGATATATTATATTTAAATTGATATATAAAAATATAAAAAAAATTTGAATTATTTTGTTTATTTTCATGAGATAAACTTTAAGGCGGTAAAAATAGTTTAAAGAGATAGTGTTTACAAACAAGGTATTTAAAATTCTTTTTTAAACAACCTGTTTGTAAACACTCTGTCTGTCTAGAACATCCTGTTTGTAATAGAGGAGGAATAGATGTTCTAAATACTTGTCAGTTGATGTGGCAGCACTATTTGCATGTTTTACCTATTCGTCATGCAAAGGAGAAGGGACTATATAAATACTATAGGAATTTACTATAGGAATATATAATATATATATAAATATATATATATATATATATATATATATATAAATATATATATATATATATATATATATATATATATATATATATATATATATATATATATATATATATATATATATATATATATATATATATATATACATATACATATAGATAGTTCTGATCATTGATATGGATTTTGATATTCTCGTTCTACAGCTGATTTGCTAACAGTAAAAACTAATAGGTTTTATCGTGCCTTATATAAAGGTTGAGAGGTTAAGGTTATCACATCTGTTTGGAACATTATGTTTGTAATAGAAGAGGAATACATGTTCTACCTACTTGTCAGTTGATGTTGCAGCACTATGTATTAAATACAAATATGAAAATAGGTAACACAAATAGGTAAAACATGTAGAAAATGTAACACAATTAGGTAAAACGAGTAGCATGTTTTACCTATTTGTCATGCGATGGAGAAGGGACTATATATATACTATAGGAATTTACTACAGGAATATATATGTATATATATATATATATATATATATATATATATATAATATATATATATATATATATATAAATACATATACACATATATACATATATATATATACATACATATATATATATATATATATATATATATATATATATATATATATATATATATATATATATATATATATATATATATATATATATATATATATATAATATGGATTTTGATATTCTCATTCTACGGCTGATTTGCTAACAGTAAAAATTGATGGGTTTTATCATGCCTTAGATTAAGGTGGAGAGGTTAAGGTTATCACTCTCGACATTTCTAAAGCATTTGATAAAGTTTGGCATGCCAGTCTTCTCCATGAGCTTTCTTCTTATGGTGTATCTGGAAACATCTTTAAGATTATTGAATCCTTTCTTTCCAATTGTAGTATAAAAGTTGTCCTCGATGGACAACACTCTTCTTCTTATTCTGTAACCTCAGTGGTTCCTCAAGGTTTGCTCCTTGACCCTATACTCTTTTTAATTTACATTAACGATCTTCCAGATATTCTCACATCTAAGGTGGCATTGTTAGCTGATGATACTACCATTTATTCTTGTCATGATAAGAAGCCAACTCTAATTGCTTGGAGAGGACATTTGAGCTTGAAAAGGATCTCACTTCTGCTGCACCATAGGTCTCACAGTCTTTGGTGAACTTTAATTCAGATAAAACTTAATTTTTTTCAGCCAATCGTTATGGCAATAATTTAGACCTTCCTATATTTATGAATGGTAATGTACTCCATGAGTCATCTGCCCTTCATCTTCTAGGATTGACTCTTACTTCTGATCTTTCTTGGAAACCATATATCAAATCCATTGCAAAATTAGCATCTGCTAAAGTTGCATCTCTTTATCAAGTTTGACACCTTCTTTTTCCAGATTCTATTCTGTATCTTTATTAATCTCAAAACCGGCCTTGTATGGAACACTGTTGCCATATCTGGGGCAGATCTTCTAATGGTGCCCTTTCTTTTTTAGACAAGGCGCAAAAACGCATTGTAAACATAGTTGGACCTGCTTTTGCAGCCAACCTTTGACCATTATCACATCATCGTAATGTTACTTCTCTTTTTTTTTTCTACAAATACTATAATGGGCACTGCTCTAAAGAGCTAGCGTCTCTTGTGCCATTTACTAAAATTTATTCTCGTGTTATTCGTCAATCAATTAAATCTCATCCTTTTTCTGTGACTGTTCCTAAGTGCTCCAAAAACTCTTATTTCTTTAGTTTTTTCCGTTGTGAATGATGAAGGAAGTGAATTCAAAAGAACATCAGTTCTTTTGATTTCGCTTCCTTCATCTTGCTACCCTGATTCATATAGTTTGCAGTCTTTTAAGTCATCTGTATGTATGTATGTATGTATATAAAAATATATATACAAATATAAATATGTATATATATATATATATATATATATTATATATATAAAAAAAAATGGCAGACGCTTTTTTTTTGTAAGAAAAACAATAACAAATAAAAGCTATAACAAGAGAATTAAAATGAGTACAGTATCTGCTTTCTAACAAATAATTGATGGTTTAACGACTAAAATAAATATTCTAGAACAATCTTCTTGTCAAATGGCAACAGTTTCATCCAAAGATTTCGATGATATGATAAAAAGATTGTGCATTTTAGAAAAACAAAATAATGAGAAGAATAAAATCATTTATGGTCTTGAAAATGAAATTGCTAAATTACGAAGTTTGGTAAATAGCTCAAATAATGGTATTGGTAGTGCTGGTAATACATGGTCTAGTATTGTTACAGGTGTCAAACCTAAATCAACATAGCATCTTAATTTGATAAATACCATTTCTCAAGAATCGTTTGACATATCCAGAAAGGAAAAAAACGTAGTTATTTTTGGTATACTTTTGTCATCTAAAACGGATATACATGATAAATATGAAGATGATAAAAGTAAGATCATTATTATATAAATCCAGATTTAACAGATGCACAGAGGATTTTACAAAAACAATTAAGGGATAAGTGCAAAAATGAAAATAGCAGCAATAATGATCCAGATTTTTACTATGGTATTAGATCCAATAAGATTGTAAAGCTAAAAAAGACTCAATAGCAATCACTATATGCAAATACATTTTCTACCTTTGAAATAAATAGATTGCATATTTACAATCCTTTATTGAAGTTAATCAATCCTTTTGATTTTTTATTTAAAAGTGATAATCACAGTATGTTAAATCAAAATACTTAAGAAGTTAATGTTACAGAAGTCTATGACATTAAGCCCTCCAATATCCAATTACAAAAATATCAGTATGATTCAATAAAATGTTGGACACAAACGCAACTTTGCTCAACAATAAATGGTTTTTGTTTGAATCACGTATACAAAATAATGATCCAGATATAATTTTTGTTACAGAAACATGATATAATTTTTGTTACAGAAACCCTTCAAATATGTTAACGACTGCAGTCGTTAACATATTTGAAGGGTTATACATCATTCAGAAAAGATCGATCTGTAGAAAAATGTGGTGAAGGTGTAGTAATATATGTTAAAAATCATCTATCATGGTTTGAAGTTTCCTTAACTGGTTTATCAAATCTAATCCAACAAATTTGATGTGAACTAGTTATTGGTAAAGAAAAAATTTTATTAGGATGCATTTATCGTCCTCCATATAACTTAATCGATTCAAATCAATTAATCAATGAAGCCTCAAGCTGTACAACCAAAATTTATTCAAGCATACTTGTGTGTGGTGATCCAGAAATAACATGGAATTACATTGGTATAGTATCAATATCAGGACCTGATCATTCAGATGCTCATATTTTTGCTGATATATTTTTAGACTCAGACTCAGAACTGCATCAGTTTGTACTAAGACCAAGCTTAGTGAAGGTGTTTTAACAAGTATTCTAGTTCTAATTATGTCTGAATCACCATTTCGAGTTTTCAATTTCAATTACAATGAGCACAAATTA